ATCTGTATGTAAACTATTATGTAACCGCTTATGTTCAAGTAACATTATTCATTTGGAGAGGGGGTGAGAGGAGAAAATATCTTTGTCGATGAGGTCTCTAGTGATGTTAAGGGAGTACACCAAGGAGATCAAAGAGGTATTTGCCATAGAAACCCTTCAATAAGATCCAGTAGGAGCTTTGGTTCTTAAAATATGCTAAAAGTTGAGACTTGAAAGCAATAGAGAAGTGGATACAAGAGAGAGTAGGTAGTGAGAATTGATGTGAACCAACTAGTTTAATCGGCTCGATTCTAATTCTGTTCCACATACTTTATATGCTCATTTTTTTATACCCTCCAATATTTGACTCCTGAACATTATCCTCACATTCCCAGACATCACAAAAAGGGTAAAATTGACACTTGTGTTCAATATTTGTGAAGATTAAATTGAAGGGTACATTTGGAAACTCGTAATATCACTATATGTTCTTTTTCTTACCTTGGGCAGTAGTGGTAGTATTGCTTTTCTTGGCACTATTTACAAAATCCTCGAACACCTTCGCATCCGGTGAATTTGGTGCCAAATGCAAGAGAGCTGAATCAATCACATACTTTAATTAATTATTCCATTATATAGTGACTTATATAACATGCACGTGTATACTCACTAGGACAATCAGATATATTAGCCGGCGCATGACATTGAGACGGAAGGCCTAATGCAAGCGTTGCATTAATTTTGAGGCCGAGGCTCGGATCATTTCTGTCCTTAACCAAGATGCATATGCATTCAGGACTCGTATGAAGAACTTGTTTGAGGCCGCTGCAACAGTCGAGAGTTGGAGCTTTAGCTTCACCTCCAACGTAGGGAAGACATGTAGCTAGACCTACTAATTGATTTGCACATTGTTCTCTATCTTTGGCTAAATCTGATTTTACAAAACCGAACAAAATGAAGAACAAGATGCATACATATTTTGCCCCCATTCTGCAATGTAGACAGATAGAGAGGATAGAATGAGAGAGATGCTCCCCATGTCTTTATATGCTTTTTCATGACATTTTTAATTATAATTAAAATTAATAATTTTAGGTGGGGTTGGGTAGTTGGAATAAATTATATTCATTTATTATTAGCGTAACTCTATCTAGATCGAGATAAGAGGTTAAAATCCTCTTCTTACTTTTTTCTTTTTGCAAAAAAATACGCTATAAAGATTTGACGTTTTATGTATTTCAAGTTCTTTCATTTCTTGAATTATATATAATTTTTCGAGATCCATTTTTTTTTTTTTTTTGAGTAAAACCTATTCTTCTATAAAATACGTTCATCAAAATCATCTTCTTGGAAGGCAATTTATTATTTTCCATTTTTTTTTATCGAAAGTCAAATTTTTGACGAATGTATTTTATAATCGAGTCGCATCGTAATATTATATTGCACTATCTCATCTGATAAACTCATCTTCTATTTATGTTTTAGGATGAGAGTGCATGTCTACTCGTAAAAAGAATATTATTGCAATCCCGTGATAATTGATAAATCATGGCAGCTACTATCATGAATATTTGTTTTACAACCCGTGACTATATTTTGACTTATCTGTGATTTTACAGCAATTTTTTAATCTGATTTGAGGTTAATGGTCACACAAAGTTTTGAGTAGGTTTAAATACTTGTAAATCACAGCTTGACATTGGTCATGTGACTGATTAAAATAATAAAATATCATTATATTAAAAGATCAGAAATAACATAATTTTCGATAATATGCCTTCTAATTTGTTGGGTTTTGATTGGATATGAATAGGTAACATGTTTCATGTCTTCAAGGTATCTTGTTTTATTACATTTTGATTCACGAGATTTAAAAATCACAATCACTTCGGTGTAAGTTGAGAAAACTGTGTAATATTTGTTTTATATAACCACCGTTTGTCTTTTATTCTTTCAAAACTTTTTTGTCTACATACTCATTTTTTCATTCACACATTCACATAAT